CCATACAACATGCTCTTGCAACTTAGCACCCATGCTTGATAAAGTGCCCCCCTTGGTATAATTCTATTCTTCTTCCATCCCCTTCAAAATGCTCCAAATTTCACTGTCTAATTCATAAAACCTTGTCATAAATTCTGGTGGTTCGTAATTAATGTTGGAATACATTTAAATCTCATACATTTAAATTGTTATTTGCATACTTTTTCGAAGGACGTTGCTTGGCTAAGTGCACACCCTGCTAAAACTTTTTTCGAGCTGAGTGCTAAGGCTGATAAATGATTGCAATGTATGGTAACATTAAGAAGATACAACAATCATCAGCAATTGAACGCGACTCATGTCAAAGTAATACCAGATTAGACTTCGATCAGAACTTACCAGGCTAAAGGCAGTTTTAAATTAACATTAAAATTAGTTTGGTAGTAATCTTTTCCGACTCCAAGAGCTCTTGATAATCCAAAATCACTGATCTTCACCTAGAAAATATAAGAATAATTGTCTTATTTGTCACAAAGGAAGCATCTTTGTGATGATTGACAAGAAAACAATTGGTTTTCAAGGAAATTTCTTTAAGACGTATTCTTGACAAAAATATGTCTAGATATCATTGAATACAACAGAAATATTGCTTTAATGAATTTCCTTAATTTGATGGCAATCACGAGGATGACATTTCATGAAAGTAGCCGCGACACTTGTTTTTTACTGATTCATGAGATTTATTGGGTATAAGTTATTAGGAAGTCATTGTGAGTACACTAAATAAGTACACTGAGACTACTAATTGACATTAAGTTACCAGGATGTGTGTAATGACTGATTTCATTTGCAAGGTCAGACTCATATACAACATAAAAGGCTGTGTTAAAATTATTTGTCTCCTCGTTTCTTGCACTGAACAATATTCTCATACCGACTCCCTGTCAATGTCATATTTTTATCTGATAAACATTTCCAGGACATATTTATTAAACTTTGACTGCAATAATTATTTTGCATATTATTTGATTCAGTATGGAGTCCTTAGCTCACTAATAAGTCACAGCAGATAACTATTGATGAAGTAATGACTACTTAGCTTACTAACAAACAGAAAACTAATGATGTTTCTGAGACTCCTTAACTCACTAATAAATCAGGGCAGTTAACCACTGATTCAGTATTGACTTTTTAATTCACTATTGAATGACAGCAGATAACCATTGTTGAAATTGTGACTCCTTAGCTCACTAAAATATTTGTTTCTTGTGATTTGTTATTAATTTTGGACCAAATAAACGTAATTTCTCAGATTCAAGTGTTCAAATGGTTTTCACGAGTGGATAATAACTAGGTTTATAATAAGACAACTTACACAATCCTTGGAGAAAACAAGTATATTTCTAGTAGCGAGGTCTCTATGAATGACATTTTTACTATGCAAGTATCTCATACCAGACGCAATCTGGACCGCAAAATCACACAACTGTATGACTGGAAAATATGACCTTAAACTGTGCTCTTTTAAACACTCTGATAAAGACCTCAGAGGTGCTAGCTCCGTCACCTACAAATAGAAAAATAAATTCTGAATTACTATATAATCACATCATATGGGGTATTAAAGTAATGCTTCACTAAATGGACAATAGAAGACACTATTGACCTTAATTGAGGTGTACTTTTCATCAAGATGAGTGCGATTAACAGTGAAATACAATACGTTGAGGTTTTTGTGTTTTCTCACAAACCTAGTTTTGTAAATGCACTAAGGTATATTTAGATTTAATCTCAACCTTTTCACCACCAGACCCAAATTATTCTGGACTTTTTGTCTTATATTCTGCAATATTTCTGGAAATGAGTCTCTAACTTTGGAACCAACATACAATATTTGAGTCAATTTTCAGTTTTTACTCAAAAAATTTGTCCCATTATTTAAGAGGAAAGTGCAGACTATAAATGACACTATATTGTGAATTTGTGATGAAAAGAGGAAACTGGTGGTGAAAATTTTTTTTTCTATTAAATTTCAAATTCTTATCTTAATCTTGCTTGTCAATGTGCATTTATCAAAATATCACTAATGTCGCAATAAGAGAGACTATTGACCTCAATTTAGGTGGACTACTTACCAACATGAGCGAGTTTTCTACGTCCAGTACAACACCATAAAGTCTTACTAAATGTTCCTGATCCAAGGAATGCATTATTGTGGCTTCTTTCAGGAAGTCTGCTTGTCCAGCAAGCAACTTATCTTTACTCAAACACTTAATGGCTACCTGGATCTGGAGAACATAAAAACAAAAGAATCAATGATTTTAAACATTGAGGGCGCCCTATATTTACAACATTGATATCTTGATTCATTAGATACTTACCCTCTCACCCTCCTCGTTCGTCCAGACACCTTGTTGCACGATGCCAAACTCCCCTCTGCCGATCTCTTTATGAATACTGAGTGCTTCATTTGGTATGATGTGCCTACCAAACTTACTTGTCTCATAAACTGACAGGGTCATTGGCAAGGGTGTTCGGCTTCCACCTTTTTCTTTCCCGCCAAGAATCTGCAAGAGGACAAATAGACACCAAGCCAAAGAATGAATTTTTACACTGAACTGTTGGCGCAACATATTACACATTTTCAGATATATTTTTTTATAATTACCAGTACTTCATTAATTTCAGA